GGGTGCCATGCGTCCAACGGACTCCACGGCAACAGGTTTTTACAAAGGGGTGTGGCTTGGAAAAAACAAGCAACAGATTTCCTGGGGCTCAGGAAGGACTGGCCAGGGGTGTGGGGGCCGTGGAGGAGAGTGTGAGGGAGGCAGAGACCTTGAGAGATGAGAGGCAGAGGCAGAGAAGAAAGCTCAAGAGAGACCCAGAGAAACAAAGACAAGAAGAGATGGAGGTAGTGAGAGGGAGGCGGGAGTGGGGGAGAGGAAGCCATTGTTTCCGGGTCAAGGCCCGCCTCTGTGCACTTGCTCACGGTTCCCAGACGCAGTAGTGATTCCCACCCCGTGTCAGTGCTCCGTGGAACATGGGTGCGTATGGGACGTGCTGACACTGGAAGCGTCACTGGTCATTTCCGGCTGACGGCTCGTCACTCTGCAGCGCTGCCCTTCCTGGGCCCGGAGAGGAAGTGACCAGACCTCAAGCTGTGACCTGGCGCTGTGTTCTGACCCCCACATGTCTAATTCCCACTCGCAGTGAGTGGGCAGGAAGGTGTAGGAGTGACGGCCCCGCACAGACGGGAGGGTGCAGGGGCCAGGCCACCCCAGCCGGCCCACCCGGCCCACACTGCTCTTCCCAGGAGAGCGGCCTTCTGGCGCCCTGCCCCGTGGGACCCCAGCCGTCTAGGGAAGCACGCAGTTCACGCTAACCTCGGACAGCTTCTAACCTAGGCACCAGTTCTAACCCCTCTCTCTGTCTCCGATGCCCACCTATGACACCCGAAGGAGGCACTGCCCACGTGCTGGGGCCTGTATCAGGGCTGTAGTTCTGAGGTGCTCAGATTGTGGGAGGCTGCGGTCCACAGCCGCAGCCCCAAGTCCGGTATGAGTCAGACATGTTCACATGCCATTCGGCTCACTCTGACCCTTAAACCACCATGGTGGCTGTGCACACAAGGCCAGGAGACTGGCTGAAAGGAGGTTCCACTCACACGAAGGACTAGGGGCCACGCCTGCTGTGTCCTTAACGATTTACTGAAAATAGTCCCGTGTCGCCTGCTTTCAGTTAATGGCTGGGGCCCTGGTTTGATCAGTAGCCACCTTGGGGCTCTGCCTCCGGCCGCGTGCTCACGAGGCCCATCTAGACGGCATGCAGCCACCAGCGTAGTGCACAGGTTCCCGTGAGCACCACCACGTGCTCGGGAATTCCCATTCTTCTCCGTGTTATCCATCATTTGTTATGATCCACACAGGCGAATGCCTTTGCACAGTCAATCAAACACAGGTGAACATTGTTCTGGTATTCTTTGCTTTGAGCCAAGACCCATGTGACGTCAGCAGTGACAGCCCG